GAGGAGGGAAAACCTTCCTTGAATTATATATTTTTTCCTTTTAAAGCAGCATCAATCGACTTGCATTCTCGCATCCCGTCAGATTAACCTTTAATTACCTGTGTGGACTTTAAATATAATAATCGCACTGGCGTACGAGGTGTACGTCTCAATTTCCTGCAAGGTCAAAAGCTCAAACCCGCCGAGCTTATCCGTGCAGATCCAGGGATTGTGCCAATCTCCCGTTTCTCCAGCAACAACACGTGGGCGTTGAACGATAACAAAGAAATCTAGCAGCTCGGGCGATGTGAAAGGAAGCCTCGAGCGCAGGAGTACCCCCTGCTGGCCCCCCATCAGCTCCCTCACCAAAGCCAGTCAGTCTCACCAAATGGTAATGTCCCAGTGTGTAAGGGGGGGGGAGTTACAGGGGGTAAGGGAGCCACAGTAGTGCTATTAATGCCCAACAGGGGGAGCAAACAAGCAGGCAGGGAGGAGCCGGCTGTTTGAATGGGAAGGAGGGCTCCATATTTAGGGTCTGGCTGCACTGAGGATAAAAACCCAACGATGGCAATCAAGGGACATTAGGGAGAGCAAAATAACTTTTCTGATAATCTGTAATGTCTGGAGCCAGCTTCCAAAAGAGGATTTCATTCCCAAAGCATCTCTTCAGAGGTTTTAATCATTCTTCACTTCCTCAATCGACCACATGAGGGCATCAAAGAGCTCACCGTATACACAGTGCAAAAAAAAGCAACAACAATGGCCTGTTTCTGCTCCTGCAAAGCAAACAGCACCACTGTGCTGCAGTACGTTCTCCTCAAAGACGGCCTGGGAGAAGAAAAATATTAGAAAATTCTCTCGGTGCATAAAACAGGATGCGTTTAACCCTGCAAGCTTTTACAAAACTTTCCAAGTTGTTCGATTTACCCATCTTTCTCTTTATAAACTCTTTAAACATTTGCCACAAAAACGACTCAGGACAAGGGGCAAACAACGATTAATGAATTATTATGTTGATAAAGATACTAACTGATTAACTATCACGTGCCATAGAACCTCAGAAGAGGTTTATTATAAGCAGAAAAACAGTTTATGGTTGTTGTTTTTTTTGAAGCAGTAAAAATATAATGTGGGGTTGAAAAGAAAAAAAAACATGTTGTAGTAAATCCACATTTTCTGTTATGAGAAAAAAGCAAAGAAATCCATGAAAGGATCGCTCAGCGAAGCACAAGCTTTTGTTTTTTTCTTAAGGGCAACTTATAAAAAAATCAGCTCTGTCCAACTGCAGCCGTTTGAAAGAGGTTTTTACAGAAGTCTGCAGTGCTGTGGAAAACTGGTTTTAATAGGGTGAGCAGCAGCCAGGTGCTGTCAATCAAATCCACTTTATTAACTGATCATCAGTAAGTGTGAGCGCCTCTTTAAAAGCTAAGGTTGTGGCGGCTTGTTAGTCTGGTGCATTCAGGTGTGTTAATAAAATGCCACAATCTTCCCAGCAGATTCACCCATATGTGAAACTGCGCAATACTCAGAGTAACTGCAAAAACAGCACAATTAGAAAACTTCGAAGAGAGTCAAATGTGAGGCCATCTCTGCCACAGCTAAAGCCCAAATTTGATCATACAACAGGACAGTGATCCCAAGCACAGCAGCACATCTACAGTCAGAAAAGAATCAAGGTGCTGCAACGACCCAGTCAAAGCCCAGACCTCAACCTGATTGAAAAGTGCCGATGGGACCTGAAGAGAGCGGAACAGAAATGAATGTCCCCAAACTGGGCATGTCCAAAACTGGGTAGCTTTTGGAAAAGCATATTTGAAACCATGTCCAACATATTTGGTGTTCCAATTGCACCCTGCCCGTTTATAGCTATTTTTGGGGTGACGCCTTGTGATGCCAGTCTTTCCAAATCACACTCTGATCTTCTGGCCTTTTGCACTCTTTTGGCCCGTAGAATGATATTATTGAAATAGAAAGAGCCACTTCCACCTGTATATGGGGAATAGGTTAAGGATGTCATGTACTATACTCAGCTGGAAAAGATCCGCTACACTGTAAAAGGTTCGGTTCGGAGGTTTTATGACACATGGCAACCTTTTCTTACTTACTTTGAAAGATTAAGTCCGGATACTATCGCTTAATGTGCGTGTGAGTGGGTTTTTTTTTTGTTGTTGTTGTTGTTTTCTTTTTTCTTTTTCCCTTTCTGTTGTTCATTTATTTTATTATTTACTTTGTATCTGTAATTTTATTTTATTTTATCTCTTCTTTCCTCTCTGGCTGGGTTTTAGTTACACTGTTCTGGGTGGGTGGATGGGTGGGGGGGGCACGACTGTTTGTTAATATTGCCGTAATTGTTGTTGGAAGCAATTCTTTGTTCAATAAAAAGACCTTGATCAAAAAAAAAAGAAAGAAAGAAATGAATGTCCCGAAACTCAATAAACAATGAGCGTTTTAAAGAAGAGTGGGCCAAAAATCCAGAAAAACTTTAATAGGTCTGTGAAACCTTCCTTTGTGACATGACTGTACAGCATCTTAGCGATGATAAAAAAAAAAAAGGTGCCAATAGTGTATTGATGCAATTTCCAGCTTTATATATGTATTTTTTGACTCTACTAGAGCAGTTTCTACGATTCAGAATTAAAAGAGTTATCTTATAGCCCTGAGCTTGGTTCTGCTAGAGGTGTCTTCCTGTTAAAAGGGAGTTTTTCCTTCCCACTGTTGCCAAAGTGCTTGTTCATAAGGGGTCATCTGATTGTTGGGGTTTCTCTGTATTATTGTACTGTCTTTAACTTACAATAATAAGTGCCTTGAGGCAACTGTTGTTGTGATTCAAATGCTATAGACAAAAACTGAACTGAATTGAATACTGGGTCTTGATTAAGGCCCTCAGTATATAAAAACAAGCTTTTTTAGCTCCTCCCCCTCTTTAAGCCAAATGCCTTCTGATTAGCTGACCCTTGCAAACAGCAAGTGGGTGGGGCTTCTTCTCTTACAGCCACAGCATATTAGGAATATCCACTCTAGCTGACATCACGCAGATCAAAGAGCAGAAAAAAATGTCTTAAATGGAGCATTCAGAGCCACGATTTTGTTATTATGTTTTCACCCATTCAAAAGAAAAAAATCTAAAACTATCTATAGTCAAAAA